CCATTAAAGAGCATTCAGTTTATTTTGAAACCTACGACATCATTTGCTCTCACAGCCTTCTGAAGCTTTACTTCTTTAAACAGATCACATCATATTAGGAGGCTGCTTGTGTTATGGAAATTACTGGTAATATGGCACTCTCCTGTGGCTGGACACTGTTAAAGGGAAAACATTGCTTATATTACTGTAATTCTCTATTGCAGAATGGTCTGGCTATGCGAGTACATTAATCCTGTAACTGGAATGTTTAATACCTAAAGTTATGCAATCAGCAGTCCATCATGCTCAGGATCAGGACTCAGGTAGACTGTAACAGGCTGGGAACACATGTACTGTTTGTTTTATCCATCGCAAAACAGTGGTTCTAAACTCCTCAAACTGCAGCAAATATGTTTAGAATTAAATGGGTCCAGTGCTTCTCAAAAAAAAAGAAAAAGCTGGAAGGAAATATGTGGTCTGGCCAGTTGGAAGATGGATGGAATGTTCAGTTTTCGCTGTGATTCTGTGCAGCACACCAGGTGTCATTGTTTGAACAGTAAGTGATGTTGAAGACATGCAGCCGGTGTCAACAGCTCGAAAGAAAAACTACTTAGTTTCTGAATTACTAACCAGAACCTGGGTGCTACTTATATGGGCGTTGAACTTTAAACTTTACTGGATCATGAATGCAGTTATAAACATTGGTGGAAAAAGGATGCAGCTTCTTCACTTTAGTAGAAGTGCAGTAATATAAAAATAAGTCCTCACGAGTAAAAGTTCTGCATGTAAAGTCCTGTAAAAGAGCATAGCATTAGCAGCTAAATGTAGTTTAAGTGCTCAGATAAAAGTACCGGCTTATTTTTTTTGTACATGGTATTATTAGATTATTAATAGGGAAGCATCAGTGTGTCAGCAGCATGTTATTGTTGTAGCTGCTGCAGGTAGAACCAGTTTGACCTACTTTATATACAGTTTTATATACAGGAACAGCAGATACAGCTTTAAGTCTTAGTGAGATATTGGATCATTTGAACATTTCTGAAAATAAATCATGTGAGAAGTTTAGAGGGAAGTTGTTAATAAACACATCCGTATTGCCAGTCAAAAAGGGTAAAGGTTTTAAACCACTTCTCTAATCTTTTAACAATGTGTTGTATTTCAAAACCTTACGTTATGCACTGTGTGAAATCTTTACGGTACAGGTGACTTAAGCTGTAAAATACATGTAGTGGAGTAGGAAGTACAACACTTCCCTCAGAGTTAAAGTATTAAGAGGATTAAAATGAAAATCCTTAAGGTCAAGAACCTCAAAGTTGTACCAAAGTACAGGCTTGAGGGAATGTGCTTTGCTCCTGTCCACCAGTGCTTAAGATCATATTAAATTACTTTAAAATATCTTGTATTAAGGGTGTGTTTGGTTTTGATTCTTAGTCATATTTTGTCATTAAGGACACCAAGCAGTCAGTCTTCACTTGAAGACAGGAGTGAATACAAACTAGAATGCAGCTGATTTGTATTAATGCAAGCATGAATATTACTGTCTAGACCCACACGTAGACTTAATTTTACACATCTTTATTTTATATACACAGCAAAGTTACAATCATCAGCTTTAAAATTTCTAAAAAGAAAAAAATAATGTAGAAAACATTCCCATTTTAATATTGAACCTGACAATTTATGCAGTCATATGTACTCTCGAACCACGTTAAGTACATGACCTGAGTATTTGTGGATGTCAAGGATGACAAATGAGACAAAATCAATGTAATTTTAGTGTCCAGAGGTAGACGAGGGACTCTTATGTCAGAACACTTTAGGTGATTATTACTGCAAGGCTGCACACATTACCTTATAGACATGACAGTAAAACTTTCCAATTCATTCAGATGTATTGTATCACAGCTGACATGTGTTTGCTTTAACAGGAGGTTTACGTTCCAGACAAAACTAGCCGAAAATGTGGATGCAATATTGTCAGACATATTAAAGATGATGTGCACCTAAAACACGAATGCTACAAATAATGTAAACGTTCTACTTCACGTCAGGAGGCTCAGGGACCACTTCTCTCTACTGATGAGTTGATCTAAATCACAAATATAAAAATATTTACAAGAAAGAGAAACAAAACAAAAAAATAATATATAGAAAACAATTCTTGTACATTACAACAGCTGTGCAGTTTGTTAAGAAAAGGGCAGAAATGAAGCACCTCTCAACAACGCTCAGCTGTGATATGTATGATAAGAGGGGTGCACTGGCGGAAATTAAGGTGTCGGGTCAGCAAATGTAATAAAAGCAGATAAAATTGTGTCTGTTGAGCTTGTGCAGTGCTAAAAATGTATTTATATTTCAAGATTTAAAAAAAATATATTGTTTCATTTAGGGGGTTTCTGTGCTCTGGTTTGACATGTTTACACGAGGATGCATCATTTACAGTTCTGTTAGGAGACACAAATGAAAAGCACACAGAAACACTCACTTCAATCTTAAGCATGAAAATGTCTGAGGCTAAAATAGGTCAGTGTTAGCCACAGATCATTCCACTGATAAAAAAAAAACAAACAACCTATGCATGTACAAAAGAGGTGTCATTACCCATCTGTAGTGAATGATTCCCTATTAATCTCACGTGCTGACACATTTGAGACACCAGAGTGGACGTGTCAGGTCACTCACACTGCTCTACAAAAACTGCAACTTTGAAACCTAAAATCTTGAGGAAAATCACACGGTGAGAGTCGTTGAAACCAAAGTGTTCTCTGCAGCGACTGCCGCCTGCAGACTATACCACAAACGATGACTTCTGTTTGAAATCCCCCTGAGAAACAAACACATCATCAGAACACTGATCTGTTAGCTTTATCTGATTCAACAAAAATAAAACAATCTATTGTGTTTGGTCCTTAACAAACCAAACATAACTGACGGTGATACGTGCAGTATCTCTTGTAATAAAAACAATGCTTAAATGTCAAATCAAGACCACAGCATACTTACATCCTCTTCATCACCACCACCATATGATGATGGAGGCTGGTAGACCACATTAGGCCTTGGTTTGCTGCAGGGAGAATCAAAATAAAACATGTTGAGATAGTCACAGATATTTAAGACTAGTTTATACATGTGGTGTGTACTTCAACAAGGAAACACTATGAAATGAAATGAAACTAGACAGTATAAAAAAAGAAAATCCTCTCACCTTTCAATCTTCTCTGTAATGTGAAGAAAGGAAACAACGTCAGTAGGGTAAAACACTTGGCACATATTACAAATAGGGGTCGATCGATAACACTTTTCAGAATATAAAAATTAAAACTCTTGCTGTCAAAATTTAGAACAACACAAACTCTTGAGGCCCTCCACACAGCGTGAGCCACAGGCCTGAGAGCTAGCCTGTTAGCTGATGGGAGCACAAATAAGTTCCAGGTGCACTGACACCTGCACTATTTAAAGATATAACCACTATATTTCACTATAACTGGGAAACTGGTCATGTTTGTCATCATTTAAACAGATCACAAGATTGTGGTGATTGGTACAACTTCAGTGTAGAGCAGAGCTTCTGAAAGTCTGGATCTCTGCTCAGAAACGAACCGAAAGGTGAGTCAGTCCAAACCTCGTGTTATGAACACATTATCAAGTGTCATGTTCCCCATTTTGGAATAAATTCTCCATTGATTAGCGCACTGAATATACAGTGTAGTTAGATATTATTCGGTGCAATCCTGTTCCCTTATGAATATGGTTTACTGTAGTTCCCCCCAGATCCTTGATAATGTTGTTGTGCCGAGCTGTTGCACAGGAGAATTTGCTATTAGCTTCCAAATCGCAGATACAGAATGCATCTTGCTTTTATCGCAAATCACTTCTAAACTAGTGCAAATGTAGAGTCAGAAATAAAAATGATTTGACAGTCTGAGTCATGTCTGCCTCAGTTTCATGCTGTCCCAATCACAAGAGATGTGATGCTTCTGGTACAATCATGAGCTCACACTGCTGCAACTGATTGCAGGCAAGCAGGCAATTTCTCCCACGAGGCTCAAACGTATTTTAAATATCTTGATTATCTTGAACTTGAATGCAAGTTTCTTAAACGTTAAGAGCATTAAATAAAGGTTATTTTGTTATCAGTATTTGTTCCGGACCTCTCGACTTGAATGTAAATAAGATGCGGCCCTTTGAGTGATAAGCTTGAAAGCTCCTGGTGCAGAGGATTGTGATGCTGATTGAAAATTTGGAAACATCGGCCTTCCAGACACAATTGGCTCGCTTACCGGAGCTGCTCCAGTCTGCAAAGGCTTTCCTCTGTGCCTGTTTGTGGCGCAGTAGCCTTCAGCGTTAGAAGGCTATTACCTCTGACATGTAGCCAATAAGAGAGAGTGGGACATTTCTGGGGACCGCTGAGGGGTGACTACTGATAGAGAGCTGCATCAGAGCCAAGGCAACACATTCTGAAATTAATTTATTTTAGCAGAAATCGTTTCTTTAAAAAAAAATAAAAATGGAATAATCAAAAAAAAAAAAAGCAGAATGCTGGATCCTATAATCGCTCAACCAAAAATTACAAATATGCATCTTATATGCAACAGTCTGCCTTTGTCTTTTCCTCATGTGTTTAACACATCTATGACAACTCCTTTCCTCCTTTCAGCTGATTCTGAGGAACGTTTTCCAGGTTTGTTGACAAAGACTGACATCATTCATCTTGAAATGCCTGACAGTAGCAGTTTTTTTTGTTTGTTTTTTTTTAAATTGACAATCCGTCCTATACCTTCCTTTATTCTCCACAATAAAAGCACCGGGTATAATTGTAATGTTTAATTGTAAACATTTTATTTTTATTGTACTTATATGTATAAACAGAAATTGTATATTATATATATTTAAGAAACTGGAAATTATCAATCAATAATTTATGGAAAAGGGGTGGGATTAAATAAGTGTATGTTTACTTCTTCTCACTCCTCTTTGAATCTGTAGCCTAATTCCAGAATTGTGGAATATTTCTTTTGCTATATGCTTTTGTTTTGTATGTATGTGTATGGACATGTATGTATATGAGTGTATGTGTATATGTAATACTGATTCTTTGTTTACTTACTTGTCTTTACATATTCGAAATAAATATCTCAAATCAATTTTATTTTACCACCGCATGGGTCTGGTGAATAGCTCACGATTCACAGACTAATGTCAAAATAATGATGAGGACAGGAGGATAAATTGTCGGATTCAAATATAAAGTAGAAAACTCACTGGGCAGGTATCCCTTCTTGTTGGCATACCAAAGGCCAAGTACCAGTAGGAGCAGAAGCAGCAGACCCACGATTACACCAGCAACAATCCCGCCAGTGTTTAGGTCACCTTGAGGAAAAAAAACAAACATTTTGAGGTTAATTAGCTGCAATATACACGAATATCATGGTGAGGTAAATTAGTACATTTCCGTGTGTTGAGAATTAGAGCTTCTACTCAAATAAACTCATTTGATGCGACCATATCAGCTCATCACTTCACTGACTTTTACTTCATTTCAGTCTACGTCAGATTAAAAAAGCTCAGCCTGAAGCATGCGTTTGAAATTTATTTAAACGGCACTTACGAATTTCCATTTTCACAGCTTTGCAGCGCTGAGCAGGACCAGCGTTGTTGACAGCCTCACAGAAGTACTGACCAGAGTCAAGCTTGGTTGTACGAGGAAACTCCTGTAGCCCGACAGAACATATTTGAATTTTATTGGCAAGTGGATCACAGAAATAACAGCATAAATGATGCAGAGTAATGAGTTGTCACTGACCAGGTTGCCGTTTGCTTGATTCATTTTGTAGGTGAAATTCCTGAAGGCAGCAAGTGAGCTAGGATCGGTGGGCAGAAGGGTGCCATCTTTGTACCACTGGTATGTGGGGGGAGGCGAGCCGTCGCTATCGTGGCAGGTCAGCATGGCCGTCTTGCCTGTCGTAATTGTTGTGGGGATCCTACACACGGGCGGAGATGGAGGCACTGCGGGACAAAATGTAAATCTGGACCATTTCTTTACAGAAACACATAGCCTCCATTATGGTACAAAAACACAAGACAAGAACTCTTCTAAATCGTGGCAATCTGATGGTAGTAAATATGGGTGGATTACAGATGTGTTATCAGAAAGTTGCTCAAAAAGGATTCTTACCCTGAACAATCAGCCTCACTGTGCCTTCTCCTAACTGGTTATTGGCATTAGACACCTCACAGCTGTACTCTCCATTGTCCTGACGAGTCACTTTAGAAAATCTCAGATTACTGCCACTGAACAACTGCACGCGGCTGGCATACGGCTCTGTGGAAGAGTTGCAGCATTGCATTACTGACACAAAGCACTTAAAGAGCACGTGCCAAAGCTGTACAGACCTCTGAATATATTCTTTAGCAACAGAAAATGTTTAATTCTAGTTCTGCATAATGAAACACACAGTGACATGCATGCATTCATTCACCATCGACTTGTTGACATTTTGAATTTGGCATTTATCATATTTAGAAAATATCATATGTTCTGCCTTACAGTCTGAGCCAATAATTTTGTAAGCAATTGCAACAAAATGGTATATAAAAAAAAACAAACTTGAAACTGTATTTTGAAAAAGAATTGAAACGAGTGGGACATATAATATGTGTCAATGGGAAACAGATGCATACTGTGTGGGCTGACCCAACTGTCGAAGCTTTCATTAAAATCTAGATAAAATGTTAAATAAAGATAGGAAACAACAAAAAAAAGTCAGTTTACTTACGTGTGAGTTCCCCATTATAAACCACGTACACCTGTGAGCCTTTCGTATTCTTAAATTTCCATTCAATTCTGGGGGACGGACCAAAGTCTGCTGAATACTGGCATGTAAGGTCCGTTCCTAAAAAAGACAAAATCAACAGAGTTTACACCATTATGCACTGACAGATTTAAATTTAACATGTAATACACAACTTAAAAAACAAACAAACAAAATCGCAGGTAGACTTTGACCATGACAACTGTTACTGGCTGGCTTTTGCCGCTTTTCTATCATTTTTGGATGTTTATCTCTTTTCAGTATCTCACATCTAGCAAAGTCACTTAGATCGCAAGCCTCAACATGCCTCTAAATGTCAGCTTCTCACAAACTTAATTAGAGAAAATGAATAGGATAGCTACACAACAATCATGTCCTGTCCAGCAGAATGAAAACACACCCTTCTGTGCTATATAGCTGAGTAAAGGAAAACTTCATCTTATCTTTAATTTCTCTTTGAAAACTTTCTGTGATTTTAAGTGCCAGTAAGATTGTGCAACTGATATGACACAGTATAAATATGAATGTGCCTTTATTCTGTAAATAAAGAAAAAAAAGAGACATTGTGCTGCTCTGATAAAACTACCACTCCTTAAACATTCAAATGACTTTTCATGTTTTTAGGACTCACCTTCATTCTCTTTCACACTTACAGTCTTCTGTGTGGTGACTGTGAAACCGCTGACATCTATGACACAAAGATAAAACATAATTAGACTTAAAGGACAGATATGCATCTTCACAGTTTTAAAAAGGTTCCAAGTCTAAAGTTTTCACTGTGTCCAGGCAACCCAATGCAGCACAGTTTTGTCTACAGCAGCAGGACCCATCCAAAGTAGACTCACAATGTGGACTCTGACAAACACTGTAAGATCAATCATGAAAAAATGAGTAACAGAATTTACAAAGTGACAAGATTAAAGACATGTGAGGGATTTACACGTGGGAAAACTGTGGTCTATCATGAACTCTTACATTCCCAAGTGGAATTTAGAACTTGGCTTATAAACAGCTGGCAGCATGTATTTTTGATCTCCCTCGTATGAAGTTAAGGCTTCACAAGAAGCAAGATGAAAGCACTCTAACTGTAATATTTATTAGCAAACAACAAGAGGCAGCAATAGATATGTAGGCTGGTACAGCTGAGGCTGAGATGATTCACTTTATATGGAGATAAGCATCAGTTCGAAACTTATTATCAACAGGAAGCAACATTTGATATCAGCGTTCTACTTCAGCTGCTTTAAAACATGAAGTTATGCGCACGACTCGCTCACATGGAAGACAAGTTTAGGTCAAAAGAGGACTGATGGGAGCAAGAAGGAGGTAATCGAGGGCGAAAAAATGAAGTGGATTCCCAAGCCTGAATAGTTCAGTACGTCATCTAAGAAATACACATAAAAATTAAAAGCAACTGTTCTGATAATCTGTAATAGTTTTCCATCATTTCAACAGGAAAAATCACCAGTTTTAGTACCTATAATGGGATTATTTACTGGATTATTTTGTCTTCTATTTGTGTAAACCTATAATCCATAACACTAATTCTGGTTTTGGGCTGTTAGTTGGATAAAACTGTCAATTTGAATAAGCCAATTTAGCCATTGAGAAGTTGCAATGGGCATGTGTTAGCATTTTTTGATCATTTATAGACCAAACTATTAAAAAGATAATAATAATAATAATAATAATAATAATAATAATAATAATAATAATAATAGTGGTCAGATGAATGCTAATAAAATTAATGGTTAGTTACAGCAGGCCTAAAAACATGACTTCATTCACACAGTGAGCTGCGTTACTGTGTCTCCGTGTCACCAGCAAATAAAAAGGTATGTTCAAAGATCATCATCACCACAGGAATAACTGGCAAACTGATACTGGCAAACACTTTGAGCATGCTCAGAAGCTCTTAGGGTGTGGACAAGAAGAAAAAAAAGAAAAAAAGAAGTGCTTCATTCCTTCCTGCTGAGCCAAAACGCTTCCGGTGAAACTGTCAACAGTCTGGTTGAAACCAGGCCTTTCCAGGCAGAGCAGTGCTACTACAAAGACAAAGGCGACTTAAGTTAGTATTGCTGGCAGTCACGTGCCTATCTGTCACGCCTTATTCCCATCTATTACACCACTTTGCATTAAATTACACAACTGCTATTATTTTAAGCATTGGGAGTTATATTATTTAACAACTATCTGCCTGCAAAGCCCTCAGTGATACAGAGAAGCTTCAACTCCACCATAGTACAGCAACAGTCAGTTAATTATTAACTGTGTGCAAAGTCATTCATTGTCCACCTCACCACATTCACTACAAAATGACAATATAAACAAAGCAAGACTTTAAATAAATGTGTACACTAACATAGTGCTTCCGTCTATAATTTACAGTCACATGAGGTGTTTTCACTGCAGACACTTTAATAACAGACTTCCTTGAAGTCTGCTGGTGTTTCTCACAGGCAGTCTCAGCTGAGATAAGGCAGTACAGTCACAGTTTTGGTTTGCTGGGACAGATAAGGCTCCAGTGTGAAATGAAACCTGAGCCATCTGTGACTTCCTTGTTTGCATACTTTGTGAGTTTCAGCACTTGAATGGTGACTAACTTTGCTGGTAAATCACTGGGAATACAGGTGGACTAAAGAGCCGCAGATAACTCACTTCAAAGCCTGGCAGCAAATGTTTGTTCATGTCTTGAGGAGGCCCGTCTATCAGCTGCTGTTTAGGGTCTCATTCATACATCAGACCAGAAGGTGTACTACAGCAAATACAAACAGTAACCAGTCTGGAATGCAGCTGAAATAATTATTACTTTATCTAGAAACATGAGGTCCACCAACCAGTCCAACCACTCTGTCCTGGCCTGCAAACAAAAACTATGCAGGTCTCAGTTGGCATAATGCCCTGTGAGTCAGCCTAGATTTTTTGTTCATGAATGTAAATCCCACTTCACATGAACTGAAATTCAAATACCTTGATCACATGATGGACACGGATATGTGAACATGAGCTGTTCAAGAGAGTAAAACTTTACTTCACAGACACATGTATTTAATATCAACTGAACCTGTATTTAAAAGAGACAATTTGGAAATTTGAATTGATATGATATGATAAAACCTACGGGGGGATTAGAGAATTACAGTAGACATAGAGGGAGTGGTTTACAATTGTAGACACAAAAACAGTATATTATGATACTAAATTATGATTCATGTCAACGAATCAGCCACAGATATTAGTCATTATTAATTCTGTTATGTAACATAAGTAGCACGATTGTTCGGGTTGATTTTGCTTTCTTGTTATTTTCATACAATGTACTGAATTTAAAAAAATTATAAAATCCTTTTTCACAACAATATGTGTTTCCATATAGAATCATCTTAGAACTTCTGAGTGCTACCACAGGGACTGCATTTCAGGTCAAAGTGATGAATGAAGACATGAGCTCCAGCTTCCACAATTAATTGTTAACTGTTAAATCATTTGCCAACAGTTTTGGTCATAGATTCATCAGTCTGATCATTGTTTAGAGAAAGAAGTTGACATTCTAAGCTTCTTAATTGTGAATATTTTCTGCTCTCTTGTCGTCTTTATGACAGTGAACTGAATATATTTGGGTTGTAGACAAAACAGAGCATCTGAGGACAGTTTTGGGGGGTTTGGGGAAACACTGATGCACATTTTACACCATTTTTAACAACAATAATCTAGCAAATAACTGACAATAATTGCTGATCGCAGCTTTTCTGTTCTGTACAAATACTTTTGTGTTGCCTGCTAACTTTACAAGATGTAGTTTACACACTAAATTATCCTAAAAATGAGCAAACTTGACTATTTTGGTGCTCAATAATGATAATTATGGCCTCAATTAACCTCTTTACTAGTGTATTATATTATAATATTAGGGCAAAAAGGGATACATGGTGCTTTTTTGGTAGATAAACGAACAATACATGTTAGTAAAACAGGAGGAGCTCATTTATCTTCCACATATGAGTTGCACATACAGACCTACATATGTGGCTGCTGGTGTTACTGCTCTCAATGCTAATATAGCAAATATTTTTTTTATTTTACAAGCTACAATCTTATTTTATCGACAGTAATATTAAGCTTTAACTTCCTGAACTCACCCAAGCCTTATAGACACGGAGCAGGTCAAACTTCAGGAGCAGGCCTGAAACTAGTTCACGGCTGTCAACAGTCACCTGTTCGCCTCTTGTTGGGTACTAAGGGGCTCCATATCTACTAGTATCGCTATTGTTGTGCTAAAATGGGCAAAAATACGTAGTTTCATCGCTGCCCGTCCTCAAACCCACATATTTCCTGAGAAAAGTGCCACCATCACTCACCTGTTGCTGCGCACAAGAACAATAGCGCCGAAACCAAGGCGCTGCTGGTAAACATGTCGCTCTTCTTTCTCCTCCTTTGCGACAAGACGGTGCTTCTTTGCGATAGTACTCCTGTTAGAGGACAGAAAGTGAACCAAAAATCCTTCCTCGCGTCGAATAAACAAGCAGGTGCCTTTATTTTTCGACGTTTCCACCTGCAGCGTCCGCCTGCTCTCTCACCTGAGGGTCCGCCCCGGTGACGACAGACTCGGTGACTTCCGGCGACTCGACGCTCTCAGGTGGCGGCAGACTGGAAGAACTGGTCCGACTGGAACAGAGCTGCACTGTTTGAGTTTCTTACATGCAGAGAAAACAGCTGACGATAGGCAACCACGCAGGATTTCTACATCTGCACTATGGGTTGTTTGGCTGACACGGATTTTTTATTTTTTTTTAATCTCTTGGTGGTTCATTTCTTTCACTTCCGTCGCGGCTGGCATGATATTTAACAAAATGAGTCAGAGATGATAAGAAAAAACGCTGTTATGAAGTTATCATGGACTAAATTATTTCTTGAAAGCTGTCACTTTAATTCTAACAAGTGACAAGAAACTATACTAACTAACTCACTTCATATTCTTTATATTTGAATTATTTCATCTCAAAGCATCAGGGGCCTTCTGCTCAGTCATTTCTGATTTGCTTGAAAAGTTGTTCTACTTTTTTTCTATCATAAACTATAAATATTTCAAATGAAACCTGGTGTAGTTTAGATTTATTTAGATTAATATCTGTAGTGCTTTCCAAGATTTCTATATTTCTTATTTGTTTTTTCGTGCATTGAAATTTGAGGCTATGTTTAAATGACAATATCTGGTGTTCTCATGCATTACCGATCAGGTAGATTACATAGTCTGATTATGGGTGAGTTGAAATATGAAAAACATTGAAGCGATCATGAAGATTCCCGTGTTTGAACTCACATTAACAAAAAGATTGATAATGCAGACGTCAACTAGTGATGTTTTCTGAACCATCTGTAGTTTCATGTCACAATAAAACAGAACAAAACATATGGAATACTTTAGGATATGAAACACAAAAATGGTCACTCATAACTAACAGAGGAGGTATGAGAAGACAGTAAAACTTTATTTCATACACGCATTTCTTTAATATTAACTGAAGTTGTATATATATTTTTATTTTTGTTTAAAAAAGACAATTTAAAAATTTAAATCGATAATTACACAGGTTAGATCTACACAAATCACTTCCAAGCTTCCAAGAAATTGAAGAAACAGGTATGATACAACCCACGGAGGGATTAGAGAATTACATTAAAAAAAAGATAGAGGGATATGAAAACAAAAATAATATCAGAACCAACCTGAAAAACACAAGCTTTGTTTATTATACTGAATCAGCATCAGATTTTTGTCATTATTTATTCAGTTATGTAATATAGTTAGTATGGTTGTTTGGGTTGATTTTGCTTTGTGGTTGTTTTCATACAACATACTGAATGCTTTTAATAACAACGTGTGTGTTTCCGTGTGATCACAAAAATGGTAACTCATAACTGATTGAGCAGGTATGACAAGCGGAACCACAAAAACAAAACTATTGCTAGATAACAAATCCATAATTTGGCCTTAAGCGCTGCGTGCAGCACATGTAGCAGAGTATGAATTAGAGCTGAGTGCATGGTGATGCAGAGTCAAGTGTCTTTATTGGAAGCTGCCAACTAGTTTGTAAAAAAAACATAAAAATAAATATTGACTGCAAGGGTCCACTTGACAAATTTCCTCATCCACCCAAGTGGAGCCCTCTGCAGACGTCTGCATGCAGCCCAGTATTTGTAACCCCTCAAATGCTCTGTAAAACAAATGCTTGTTAAGAGGAGAAGCAATGCGAAGAGATTCTCTGTCCTCCACACATTTTTAATTCCTCATTAAAAGAACTGCAACTGAAGTCTTTACTGTCGTATTATAGAGGTGCTGTGATTTGTACTTGCTACTTTCCATCAGCTGAGCACAAACACAGTGGGAAGCTCTAAAATCTCCAGATATCCTGTGCCATGCCTGCCCACTGTGCAGGGAATAACCACACTGACACGGTGGTAAAGCCCAATCTATAACCAGCTGCTACATCCTGTAAGAGAGCAAAGTCACAACCTTTCAGAAACATCAACAGGAGCCATGCTTTGGTCCGTACACATGATGCAGAAAGCATGAACTGGCCCTTCGAGTACTGTAAACAATGAAGTCAGAGCTGCTCTTCTTGTTAAGCTATGTATGATATCCTTACTAAATCCTTACTAAATCACCTCAAGCATCTTTCTCTATGTCCTGTAAAAAATTTAATTAAATAAAAAATCCCATCTACACATATCGGACAACATATTGTCCAACTCATATATCTGTGATAAGGCAGTATATCAGCCAGTAACATCAGTCTACCAGACACATTGGCTGACCAGAAACCAAAAACATTAATAAGTTCCCCAAAGTAGTCCACGCAGACATGTTACGCAATATTTCCAGCATCAAAATGGGCTGCGATATGTTTATTTTCTATGTATTATTTATCTGAAAGAACAACACCATGAATGGAAAATGTTGCCTCTTGACCACCTGTTATGGTCACGATAGGGTTCAGGAGGAAAAAGTTTATAAGTGACAGAGTAGTTTACTTCTATAAACATGAGCTGGAATTCAGTGAAAAAAAATGAGGTCATGATTCACTTGTCCTGGATTTAAGGTAACGCATGCGTCTCTGAACTCAGCAGCAGCAGCAGCAGCAGCAGCATGTTATTGTGTGTTGCACAAATGCTCATGGACATGCATGGTTAGGCAACACGGTGTTACACAGTTTGTGTGCACAGTGCGGAGCCTCTTGGGAAATGTTACTGTTTAAACCTGTTTAACACTGTGCACATATTAACAGTCACTCAGTCTTTAGCATTACGAAACATTGCCATCATGCATCTTTCAACTTTGTGTGATTAACGCATTATAATGTGGCCAAAAGTATGTGGACACACAAAGAAATAAAACATTTAATTAAGATAAAATTGTTGTTTCGTGCCACATACAGTAGGACATCTTGCTCATCTTACTGTTTCACAAGAAATCTGAATACTTATAATCATCGTATGATTAGTGGATCAGGTTTTTAAGATGGTAGTGACGTATTCAGATCCTTGAGTAAAATCCCTGGGTAGCATTTAGCACTTAATATGTTACTGAAGTAAAAGTATGGAAGTACAACCAGGGACATTTACTTAAGGTATAAAAAATAATATACAGTAAAAGTGACAATGTTTACAGCCTGATACAAGAAACTGTTTTGGTCTCCACAGCCAATTTAGTAATTAATGAACATCTGTAAGGGACTACATTTTTATCTACTTCACTGTTTAAATCATACTGAGGCTTAAATTTCTGCATTATTTGTAACTTTGAGTGATGATTTTGGATTTTGTTTTTTTTACACGAAAAGGTGGAGTCTTTGTTGAACATTTTGTGCAGGATTGCAAATGCTGTTTATTTTCATTGAGGATTAATCTTAATTAATTAATTCTTTTCGCCGCTAATCTCCAAACAATTCTGAAAATAGTGAGGACTTCCTTCACAGTTACTCAACGTCCAAAGTGACACCTTCACAATGCTGGTTTTGTCCAACCAATAATCCAAAACTATAATAAATAAAAAAAATTAAAAACACTAAAATGAATACAATAATTAAAAGGAACACCAGCTAATCTTTACATTTGTAAAGCTGAAACCATAGAAGGTGATTACATGAAAAGATTACGGAAACTGTCAGCAAAAATAGTTGGCCATTCATTTTCTGTCAGTCAGTTATTTAATGAATTACTAACTGATTACATGATGTTTGCATAAACAATTGGGTTGTTTAATTGTTGGGAAAACATTATGTTTTGTCAGCTCTTCATATGCTTTGTGTGCAAAGATCTTAATTTGAAAATTAACTTGCAATTACAACAATGTAATGAAGCAAAAAGTTCAATATTTCCCTCTGAGATGTTGCCCAGTGAAGGAGAATTGTAAAGTGTTATTAAAATTTTAAAAAACTATTGAAGTACAAGTCGGGGTGTATGGTGGCTTGGTGGTTAGCACCGTCACCTAGAAGATCCCCGGTTCACGACCTGGTTAGGACACCCCGGATCTTCCTGTGTGGAGTTTGCGTGTTCTCCCCGTGCAGCGTGGGTTCTCTCCGGGTTCTCCGGCTTCCTCCCACAATCCAAAAACATGTTGAGGTTAATTGATGATTCTAAATTGTCCGTAGGTGTGAATGTGAGTGTGCTTGGTTGTCTGTCTCTAAGTGTAGCCCGGTGATAGACTGGTGATCTGTCACCCCTTCGATTCTAGTGAGGATTAGGATGGATAGATGGAAGTACAAGAATTCACCAATCAAGCCACTACATTAAATTGAACACAAATACAGATTTTAACCTGCTTATGCAGTTAAACAATATTTTTTTAAACTTGTTGCAGAAGCTTTAGTATTTCCTCATGACTGTAACGAACAATGCCATGTTTCCTCTTTGTTTTTGTCACTTTCTACTAGAACCTGATTTGACCCAGTGCTACCCTCTACAGGACATCAACAGCTCCTTCAATATTAAAGTAACTCCAGACATGTATATTCATCCTGAAACACATTCAGCTGGACAGTTAGTTGCAGTGTGATGAGAAACGCTCCATCTGGTTTGAGTTTATTTTATTGACATTATACAGTACATAGTACAGCAGTGCTTTTCAGTGCATTGACATGATTGTGCTTTTGCTACACACCACCTAATCAACTACATACGTAAGTAAAAATCCTTTACATTATCAGAGAAAACATTGCATCATAAAAAGCATAGTCAATGTAAATTTATAAATAGAAACATCACTGTGGCTCTGACTAAAACTATAGCTTCAAAGGCATACTCAACAAGCCTCGGCCGAGCATGGGTGTCTCAGGCACAAGTGAAAGGCAAAATAAAAAAAGAGTTTGTGTTTTGGTTTCCGTTGTAGCGCTAGTCGAGGGACCTTATACGTCGTCGCCTCGGAGAGAGAACAGAATAGGAGAAAGGCTTTATTGCTTGTGCATGCATTAGTGGTCAGTCAAAGTTAAGATTAAAACCCTGTCTGCTATCTTTGTTGCCTTATCCAATTCCTATTGACAAACACAACT